TTAGGTATATTCAACCCCTTCACCCTGAGAGCCTAATATTTTGAACAGCAACCTCCACAAATTCTTATATTTTCGTGATCCTAATGTAATACTAAATGACTCATATCTATTTTAATTCCTTTGTTCTCAAAATAGCAGTACTTAATCTCACGAACGAAATTGAGCAATATTTCAGAATAGTTCCGTGAGCGCCAGTACAGTCAATATTCAAACTGTTCGCGGACATTTTCAAAGGGGCACAAATCTTTATTGGGCTTCTTTTAGTGACACCAAAGGAAGAAATCGAGAGATGTCATTTCTGGTGACCTAGGTTAACCATTCAATAGGTCCTCTCCTAATAATCCACTACTAATCATTATCTAATCACTCAATAACTGGACGTACATAATGAGGAGGTGAATTCTTGAAGATACTAACTTATAGCGAATCCCATTCGTAAAACTGATAATGCACTAGTTTTGCACCCGCACTACGTTGATTTTTTCTGAAATTTGAGCTGGTGCATTCCCAATGGTAAACAATATAATATTATTGTGGGAGGCTAAATCGGATAACCCGGTTTGTATTTGTTTATAACTTTTCCGCATCCTGAAATTCTTTCTGAACTCCAATTAAAAATGAAGTAGATGTTTCATGGGAATACTTTTGAGCAATTTTTCTCAAAAGTAAATTATGGATTCTGGAAAGTTATCTCCTTGAAACCTCCAACTTTTAATCACTATCATTTTGATGATGATGATCACATTGACACTAAAACAATTTGGTTCTCGAACTATTCATATTCAATTTTTCCGCCATTTTCAGAACTGCACTAACTTCGCACGACTCGCACGACTCGCACGACCTATTAAAGCTCGTGCGAGAATTGTTGCACTGACCTCAAAACTATGTGAACCAGTTTTCCAATGTAATTCCAAACCTGACACCAGTTACACCAATGGCATACGAAATATGCACTCAGGGCGAGCCAGTTTTACGAATGGAAATTGGTAATAGTGAGCGAAATACGTATCGTGGCATTGAAAAATCGGTTTGGTTAGTAGTGAAACAGTGTAGTGTGATCATCATACCAAGTTTAGAAAAAACAATAGATGTATTTCATCTATAACAACATAATGTTCTTAGGACTAATAGCAAAATGAGCGGAGGTTGCTATCGAAAATTCAAGGGTTGGGGCTGAATAGGTTGAATATAATACAACAATTACCTCAGAATTCGTTCCCTATTGATATCTAAATTGACGTGTTCTGCCAGAATCTTCATAGTGTCATCAGTTCGAGAATTATTGAGTGCTGCCCATTTTCAAATTGCTACCCTGTATAATATACTTGTTCCATGGGGGCACTACTTAGTGATGAGGTGCCTGGATCATTCTGAGAGTATAGCCTGACTATACCAACAAGGTTGACGGTCGATATGTCATTTTTTCTGCTTTTCTATACACAACCAAGATGGATGTGAGCATTTTAGCAGAAAAAATGCTGTGAATTATGGAAATATTGTTGACACATGAGCTTCAATCATCAGAGAGGCTTTTGGTTCAAGTTTTTCCTTGTCTAAGAAGACAACATCTAACCGAGAGCTACGATCAACCACAGTTCTAGGTTTTTGCGGTTACTGGTTTCGTTGTTGTACGACTAAAGCAATTGGCAACATACGAAGAGGCTGTCATGCGTACAGTCCAAGTATTCAAGACTGCTGTTACATACATACGACAAACATACATTATTTGTCTACCGGAAGTTATCTTATTCTTTGTATTCGTGTGGTACGGCTAGAAGTCGAGATACAGCTACAACTGGGTATAGCACCTCCACACTGGTGATCACTATGAGAAAAACAGCTTTTCACGTACAACAGTGTTTTTCTCCTGAGAAAGTAATATTCATCCTAAACGCTATGATTACAGTCTGGTGTGACCATATTTTGGCTTCTAGCTTTAGACACCTAAAATATTTATCACTTTTTATATTTATTAGCATAGTTTATGTAGAAAAATTTGAATACCTTCCTCCACTTATTGATGAGGATGCTTGCTGATAAACTATAATGAGGAAGAAAAAGAATTATCTTCAGAGTTAGGTCACACAATACAAGAACTGATGATCATTTGTATGACTTGTGACCATACTTATGAGTCACCTCCATTCTATCTTTCATCCATGAAAAAAGTCTCCCGATGTTTCAAAAAAACCCTCTCAGTAGGTGTGTCAAATGAATTTCAGAAAAAAATCTAGACAAATACGAAAAAAAGTCTGTACCATGAGTCTATGTTACTCGGTATATATTCTCAAATCTCGTGTAAAGATAATCGTCAGTATAAGTATCATTTCGAAACCGATAATCCATTCTATCATAATACAAGAATTGTTGTACGCGATTATATCACACGTCATGGTTTTTTCGATTCCCAAATTCTTGCATGAGATGAAAAATCGTGTTATCTGATGAACCCCAGATCAGTGATTGTGATTCTAGTCAGCTGGAGATTCCTCACGATTTGCTGTTGCGTTTCAATAAACAGTGCTGCTCTCAAGATGACGTATGGAGTTAGTAAAAACCTGCACAGAACACACATGGGCTAAACGACCTCTCGTGAAATCGATGGCCAGTTGGTATGTACATACATACCAACGAAGTACATATACTACTACTGTGATTCTGTTAGTATGGATGAGGATCATGATTTTTAATTATTTTCGATTTTCAGTAACTAGAATTTGTGAAATTTGAAGCGATACCGACTCTGTGGAAATTGAATACAAACCAGAATCATGAGATGGAAACCAGAAATAATATGAAGTTGAGATAATCTCAACCCAATTTATGTAAAGTATTGTATAAAGTTTTTTAGTATACACATTAGTATACCGATGATCATCCCAATCCATTTAGTATGAAGAGCAACGGAAACATCTCAAGGATACTTGGATGCCAAGCAGCCTCCACTTTATATCACAATAGAAATAACCGGAAGCGAATATTCAGATCGTGAAAGCCGTCTTGCTTCGAGCTAGATTAGATATCAGCCATCAACTGGCGATTAATCATTCCCAACCCGACATTCGGATAATTCGTCTGACATTTGATCCTTCTTCCCCGACTGCCAGGATCAACCCAGATTAACCTGTCGATTCCAATATTCGGACTGACATCATAATATCGGCTCTCAAATTGAGCCCATTATGTGGAAATATCCTGTAAATCTCTATATAGTTCTATCGAAGCTAGCAAATATCATCTTTTGGTTGTTCGATTCTCCATATTTATATCCTTTCTGTCAAACTCGAGAATATAGTATCAGAAAGAACTTTCCGTACCGATAAGGATGAGATCAATACCTATATGAATTGACTATCCCAGATTCCAGCAGTGAAGAATGAAATGGAAAGTTGGGATAGGGACATGTGAGCCGTTTTGACCAATAATGAATAGTTTCGACAAAAAAAATTCCTAAAGTTGAAAAATGTCGATTTTTCACACCCTACATCTCTGTAATCATTTCCGCTAGACACTAAGTGTGATACATCTATGAAATCAGCTCTTCAGAGAGAATCTGAAAATGCGATAAAATACAGGGTGTTCCGTTTGAAATAACGAAGTTGTTGCTACTTTTCGATAGAAGCGGCAACGCCGCAGAGCTGAAAATATTTTAGATCGATAGATCAAGAGCAATTACTTGAGTAACCAAATTTTCAGAATGATCTTATGTCCCGTTCTCCGTAAACGTCTAAGCTGCCATCGACCGTGACCCACCCTGTATAGTAGTGCTGAAAAATATTATTCTTCCTCTAAATTATATTTCCTGGTCGTCTGAACATACAACTGGTTCCTCATCGTTCTTGAGTGATGAATGAATTGGCTCATGAAGTAAAGAATTTATGTTACATTTTCACTGAGCGCACCTCGTAAGAAAGCTGGAAGATGACAATGATCACGTACTACCATAAAATGTCAAAGCTTTGCCAAAGGGAGTATTCCAAAAAACTTATAATCTCATAATCCAGAACCCACCTCCTCTCCCTATCCTTCCTAGGTACCCACAATGTTTTCTGAACATTATAGGAATTTGTTCCGTGCGCCCCAAGAGATGAAAAAATTTTTTATTCACAAGATCTGTGAAATCACACTTATACTATTCGGATAGATGATATTCTTCATATATCAAGATTCATCACATACGTTTTCCTCTGCAAAATAATGGTTGCCCAAATGAATTAGCGTACTATGATGTTTATTTATATTTTTATTAGAGTAGTAATTTCAGATTCAGAACAAGATAACTTCTGGATAGACAATTATTGATCTGATGCCTTCTTGCCCAGATTGAATCGAATGTACAGGGTGTCTTACTATTACTCTGAACACATAACTTCTTGCTCGCAATGATAATACAAAAAAATACCAGTAGTAAAGAACAAAACACCTTATACAGTACCAGTCAGTGGTTGCAAACACGTACATAGTGATGCGATTATACGAAATAAGTTACGAAATAGACACCGAAGGACTGCAAAGTGATGAAATTAAGATCGATCACAAACATTCCACACATTCACACGTATGTTCAGATCAATATGTTATTGCATGTGAGATGATACTGTTCCATATTCTCGATGGGATTTCAAATTCGTTCCAAGTATTTTTTGATCCATCAAGATAATAGTAATTTGAATAGAGATTTCATTGTCTGAAGAGATCAATCATTCAAATTTTATAGTAGCACTCTGATACTATACTCTCATTTCAACCCATCATTATTACACTTTGGTATTGAGAAATATATGGACGTTTCCACGCACTTTTTCTCATTTTTCAATTCAATTATGCAGTTTCAGATGAATCGATGTTCAAATATTCAGCAGATTGCGATATCAGTGGAACAGTGTCTCAGAAATTATCCACTTTTACTCTCTGTATGAACATAACGTCGAATAATGCGAAATGTTTATGAACCTCTTGGTGTTGTAGTATTATAGTTGTTCAAATTGAGTAAATACCATGAGTACTTCCGAGACGGAGCTGATACTAAGGACGTACATGGTGACTCCTACGTCCACAGGTGGACCTGTAACCGCAAGCAAACTTACACTGGGTTTAAAAACTCGACTTTGTCGTTGCCGTTCAACGTTTCCGTCAATGTTGGCCATAAAATAAAACAAAATCATTAAGAGATCTATGATCAGTCAATTGGAACATTCAATGTCGATTGAACCAATAATAGACAGATTTCTTATATTTAGGTTCATGAAATTCGAGATCCAATCAATTGTGGTTTGTCATCAGGAGTCTGCTCGTTACTTCTCGAATTTTGTTTCCTACTGCAATATACAGTATGATCAAGCTAAGGTTGCACAGCATATGGATCTCGGAAACGCAAGGATATACGAATTTGGTTGAATAGGAAAAAAGTTTCGCATCCAGAGGGTCATTCCAAGAGCATCCAACAATTGTCGAAATCATCTTGAGTTCCTCAGTTAAATCGAAAAAAAAGATAATTCATAGAAAATATATTAGATGTTTTGACTACCTTATAATTAGAGATTCAAAACAACTGCAAAAACTTTTTCATAGCAACTTTTGGTGAAATTTGACGTAGTGGTATTGATTCATCGGAGCGACGTTTCTTATTCGTAAAAACTTCATCAACTTTGTTTCTTCAAATACGGTCCTGATTATGTGTTTATATCAAATGCAACCATGTATAGAACTAGGTGGTTCGAATTTGTTTCGACCTACTCTGTTAGCCATCATGAATTTTTTGTCAAAATTCCAAACATGAAATACCATCAGTTCCACTCATTTCTAACATTGATATGGTAGCTAATTGACACTCTAAATTAAAAATAGTTATTTAACCAACTAGTTTATTAATCGCCTTTTAATATACAAGTTGGTTACAAAATTTTTCCGTCGACTATATTTCTCATTTCTCCTGCAATGAAGAAAACTTGGTTCGCGAATTCATTATTCATCTGGAAACTGCTAAGAATCACCCAGTAGCCTTGTCACTGACATTAGTGACATTTGACATTTGTCGAAATGATCAACATAGAGAATAAATTCCTTGTGTTATAAAACAGGGATTAAAATCGTGTCAGAAACTTGGAAAGGTGAACCCGTTAACAGAAAATCTTCAATGAAGTCCATATTTTCGATTTAAATGCAGATTCCGTAAGTTATAGCATAAACAATGAATGCACGCGGTGTATGTTTGGTTGCCTATAAAACAATCGTACATTAATAGACAAATCGTTCATTAATAGGGGTCATTAATGAACGATTTCATATACATTAAACTTAGTCGTTAATACGAGGTCGACGGAAAAATATATTTCGTGAATTATTCAACGCAGTGATTCAACTTGTTCCATGTTGATATATTCTTAAACGAATTACCTTGATAAATAGAATTTTCCTTCAGTCCCTTGGCTGGCGTAATCGCCTGATTGAACACCGGTGGATTTTTTTCTCTGGGGATACGTTAAGAACTCTGTTTACGTGAATGATTTTGATTACAAAGATGAACTACGGAACATTTTTCCGAAGTATTCAGTAGTATCACCCCAGACATCCTTGGAAATGTCTGGGAAGCAAATGTAAGAAGAGGGTATGCTTATTTAGAAAAAAATAGTAATAGTTTTGAAGATTTGTTATGAATGTAATTTTTTTCGTTCATGTTGTCAGAGTCCAGATATCAAGGTTTCTCGTGTAAGTATCGACCAACTTTACACACTATTTGAAACGCTACATTGAATAATCTAGTGAAATATTATCTCAAACTATTCTGTATTGAATATCCACATCAATGTTCAACACCGAATGATCAGAAATCAGTGGAACTGATGCTATTTTCTTTTTGGAATTACGAGAAAACATTTATGATGGCTAAAACTATATCGAAACACATTCGAACAACTTTGTATAATACATGGTTGAATTTGAAATGAAACTGCTTCCAGAATCTGTGAACGCCTAATTAGAGCCGTATTCGAAGAAGCAAAGTTAATGATAGTTATACGAAACGATGAGAATATAAATCATTATCACCAGTGTATTATCATCAAAAGTTGATATCGGAGAGTATTTCCAGTTTTTCTGTATCTCTGATAATAACGTAAAATTTTCCTCCCATTCAACCGAAATCGTTTTTCCTGCCGTTCCCGAGATCCCTATGCTGTACAAAATTATGTTGATCACACTATATATAAAAAATACTGACTAGCACAAGCTCTGATCTCCAAGTAGACATTCACGAATAGACCTTGCATAACCTTGGACAATGGTGGTAGATAGAGTTCAAGGCCAAGGCAAACTCGATGTTCCAGAGACCCACCCGTGGATGTCAACGGAAATATTGAACGGCACCATCGAGTTGTTCCGGTAGTACCTATCCTGAAAGAGGGGGGCGCGCAGTGGAAACAGACCAAATGAAAACCAAATCAAACCCTCGTGGCCTTGGCCTGCCTCCCGGGCTTGGGCTGCGTACATAAGGATCTAAACGCTTCGCGCAGTCTGGATTGCAACTCTCGGTGACGATATCGCGAACAGATACATTTTATATTCATTGGATCTTTTTTTATTTGATTCAGACCAGGAAAGAGTCGCTCTTAGACAAAAAAGAATTAAAACGATACATACGAAAGTTTGATGCCAACTGCTCTTCTACCTCTCTGCCCCACATGAGTCCCAGAAATACATTCTGATAATCGAAAAAATCAAACGGAACAAATAAATATCAAAAACTTGATAAGAGTGAATTTGGTCATGATGATGATATTTTCTATATTTTATGGGCCCTCCTGGTCTTCTGAACTGTGATTGATCCTCTGGGTCATTATCAACTGCATTTCGAAGAAGCTGATTCTCATGAACCTCAGCTTTTTCGAAAGTCTTGATGTTTCGTTTTCTAATGACAAATACGATTGAAATGAGTTTCAGATCCCTGGCGATTTGATTATTCCGAACATACCAGGGAGATCCTACCACCAGTCTTGCGATTTTGTTTTGACATGTTTGCTATCTGGTGATGTGGGATTCAGTCGTGTGGCTCCAGACTACTGACACATACAGTAAAATCGGCCTGATTGCCATGATGTAAATGCTCAATGTTTGTGTTAAACCCAATTCACTTGAAATTGACACAGGGCCCCAATGGCTCGTTTAGATTTCGAAACTTGCTGTTCAATTTGCTAGGCTCAGGTTAGCTTTCTGTCAATGCACACACCAGTATTTAACTTGTACAGACATGCATCAGAGATCTCCTAACGCCAATTCATCTCTAGGAAACTGACATACGAACCATAAACAAACATTTTCCTCTGAAATAATATCAGCTCCTATTGAATAACTTCATTTTTCCCAATGACTTCTACTCATTGCTAAGTTCCACGATGAAAACTATTTCAAATCCAGATTCATTCTATGACAGTGACACCTACTATATCATGAATATAATATGCTTTCGATTTTCTTGCAATGAACAGGAAACAAATAGAGTGTGCAAATATCATATTCGAAATAACTCTACTTCTTCCTCCGGAACATCAAGAGTATTACTGTATGACAATATCGTGGAGCTTAAGATGATTGCCTAGCCCTCTGGTATCAATTTCTCACAGTAAGACCAATATGAGGTTCCATGCAACTCAATGTCACTTAGAAGGGCATTCGTCTCACATCATCTATGGATGTTTTTCTATGGAAAGGAAATGAACGGCTATCGTTAGTACTACAACTATGGCAAATTATATCTACTTTGTGATTGACAATTATCAATAGTTTCAAAATCCTAGACTTGTTTACTGGAACTGTATATTCGTAGATATCCAGATCACTATAGGTTTCTACTCATTTCTACATTCAGCGATTATCATTGCCAACATTCGAGTTGGTGAAGCTAGTACAGAATAGGGAGGTTAATATAAACAGACAGTTGAGCACAATGGCAGATAATTTCGAAGGGATAATACGGATTAGTTAACCTTCGCCAGGATAAGCCGCTGAAGAGCCTAACCTGATCTGATGTAAGGATATTGAATGAGCTGTATGTATTATTTTATATTATATACATTATCGGAGCCTGCTGAATTACACATTATTCTTATATCAATAACTCAAGCTATCCTCAATAATTTTGTTTAGATCGAAACCTACTTCTGGTGGAATGCTATCATGTAGAAGAGTTGCTCTCTAGAATGATTATAATACCTACATAAACCTTGCCCTTGTGAATTTATGAATATTTTTTATATTAATTTGAATAAACTCAGGATCCTAGAATGGAATGGGCTCACACGAATTAATCTTCGGAAAGGAATTCGCAATATAAGAAATTATTGGGGAGTATGCCTTTAAAAATCAATAGTCACAATTCGACACTACCTATCTTACCTCTTTTATTCGATCTCATAAATTCGTAGATAGTCACTCGAAAGTTGCAACCCACACAGGAACAGATCTAACTCTAAATTGAACAATACATCGAATCAAAAAAATCTCTACGGTCTCGAGAAGAGAGGAGAAGAAAGATGGGGATTCTAACCATTTGGACCTCGGACAGCGAGCTGATACTCAGCACGTACATTGTCACTCCTACGTCCACGGGGGGGCCTGCAAGCGAAATAATCCCTGAAATAGTCACTAGGGGAGTTCTCAAATATTTAAAACGCGCGCCGTTTCCCCCCAGGCCGCCAAGCGCGAGAGTCCGGGCACTGTACGACTGCGCAATAAGCGGTTTCTGTTGTTGCTTTGTTATTCTTACGTAATGGTATGTGGATTTGGATCAGAAGGAGGGCATTATGAATCATATTAAACAGGAGTTTAGTTAACAGAGCACAGTTCTATAACAGTTTCAATTTGCTTCATTGGGATAAAGTCTCACCTATTGTGATGAACAGGAAGGTCCTTTCGTCGAATGAATCCCAAATGTTTGTTGGTATTGAAAAATCGAACTGATAGAACTGTTATTTATATCTATATTATCTACTTTTATTCATTGGTATCAGTGTTCGCCTCGTGAGACGTAATAATGGATTATTTCAACTCTATTCATTGTTATTTTCACTT